GTGCTAGCCTGCCCCTCTTGTGCCGTTCCGGCCTTCATAGATGCTACTCGCTAACAGCACTTGCCCCACACACAATCTGTGTGTAGGCAGCGGAGGTGTTGCGGTTAACGCGCCGCGCTATGAACCCGGCGACCCGAGTTCGATTCGCGCTCACGGCTAGCGCCAGTGACCATTATCTGAATCGGTCCTTGGCCTCCCCTAGGCTGGCTCAGCCTCAAATGAGTAGCTGTTGCGGTGTGAACATCGCCACTAGGGAGACACAAAGGCAGTCGAGCGTGGTGCTGGCAGCCCACCCCCTCGTGTGTCATACCGGCCTTCATAGGTGCTCGCTAACAGCACTTGTCCCAACAGCCTGTCAAGGCTATAAGGGGGATCTTTGTGTGCGTGTGTACGCATGCATCTGTCTCTCCCACCTCCTCTAATCTGGCGGTGTCGCCCTTCTTCGGTTCCTCGGCTGACGGTTTCAAAACAAAGCTGCTGCTGCTACTGCCAACACCGAATTTTTATTTTTTATTGTCCAGAAGCAAACGGCGATGTCAATATTTCACCGTGTGATCGAGCCGGCGAAAAGCTCCTGCATTGTGAACGCGCCGATTCTGATCGGCGGGCGCCTCGCCACCGTGCGCTCGCTGCTGCCGCCACCGCCGCTGTAGCGCTGCATCTCGGAGCGGTTTTCATGAAAGCGTTAATCGGAGAGGGGGAGAGAGGAGCACTCGAAAACACCTCAAATGTTAACATTTTCTCCGCGGGCGGCAAAGAGCTTCCATGTGCGCATTTAACACCGTAACGTGCCACCGCAGAGCGACTCCGTCGTGTCCTTTTACATTTATTTCCCCTTTAAATCTTTCAGATGCTTAGCAACCTCGCGGGAAGCTTGAGAGCTGTGGCATTCGCTTTGAACAAAAAAATGTAGAAATATAAATGTGGCGGAGAGAAGAAGAAGGAATAAAGAGGAGGTCGAGAAAACAAAGCAGAAAAAAATCCCGCGGCATGTTTTGACATTGATGCTTGAATTTCTCAAAACCGGCGCTATTGTGTTGCCGCGTGAACCACAGGCACCTGTAAGATGAACTCCCCCAGCCAGAAATGGCACGTGCAGGGCCATTGTGTTTGCCAGATCCCCCCCCCCTCCCCCCGACTTCTTCCTTCCTTTTCGTGATTACGAGATTGCGAGTGGGTGCAAACGCTTTGGGGGTGGTAACAAAAAATCACGGTAATTTTTTTAGCGCACAGACGCGCTCACGTGCGTCTGCGCGTGTGTACAAAAAAACACATTGCCACCCTTTTTTCTTTTTCATTTTTCAGCTCCCCGCACCCTCCCAGCGAGCGAGCGAGCAGGCGAGCCTTCTCCCGGTGTTGTCACGCCAAGCCCAGGGCACTGGGCTGCGTGATGGCAGTGCTAGTGACAAGCAGGCCCAGACCTGACTGCTGCACCCAGCATCTTTGCATCTCTCTCTGCGTCACCGATCCCCTCCCTCCATCCCTCCTCTCTCATCGTCGTCGTCGTCGTAGCACTTGGGTTCGTCCCTAACTGCCCCTCCCTCGTGCCGCCATTCTGTCCACCCCCGTCTTGCATCCCTTCATCACACTGTCACCCCTCGCCGCTGCTGGCTGCCTACCTTTTTATCCTTTCTGCCTCTGTCATCTTCTGTTTCATCACGCTGTCATCCCTCTACTCCATCATCCTTCCATCCATCTCTGTCACTCCATGTCTATCTCCATCATTGTTGCCCGGCCTGCCTCCGCAGTCCACACCCATCCATTGTGCATTCTCACCCCCCCCCCCCCCCCCCCCCCCCATTCTCTCTGCTCGGCGATTTCTGTCTCGGTGAGTCTCCGCTGTCGACTTTTCCCAGGCTTGCTGTGCCTCTCGCAGTGAGAAGGGAAACGTAGGCAGCCGACATCGTCTCGTTGCTCCCGTCCGCCCGTGTGCTGGAGGGGGGGGGGGTTCAGTTAATCGACTCGTGTAGATGGCTTGCTGCACCACGCGCCGCTTAGAAATCTAGATATCGAATCACTATTTTTTTTATTGAACCTATATCAACAGTCACAACGGAGGGACACACGGGCACCCAAGTAAGGGTCAACGTGTCTGGAGATTGCACTCTGCAGGTAGGCTTTTGTCCCTAAGCAGGAAATAATCGAATCACATTTTTAATGAGGAGCCAGCCCGCTCATGTTCTCAAGCCTTTTTGACACTTAAAAAATAATAATACCGTGAATTATATTATGAACAACAAAAATCACCAGTTGCATACATTTCCAAAAGGAAACTCTACGCAATGCGACTCAATTATAGCTGAATAATTGTATTTCAACCCGTGGTGCGAGTTCGTTGAGATTTGTAACATTTTGGTAAGAACATTTTTTTTCACCTTGGGTAAAGCGCAAACTCTCTGCATGCAGGAGGAAGTTAGCACGCCGCGCTATGACTCCAGCGTGTGCCGAGTTTGATTCCTGACCCTGGATAACAAAACTCACCAACTGTGCGCCTAACCAGCGTGGTGAAAAAAGGTGACAACCCCAACACGACTGAGCAGTGGATTGACAAAAGGCCTCTAAATGATTACACGCGTGAAATGCAGCCCTGTATAATTTGCTCCACGATTTCAACTGCTGAGTTTTATTTTAATTCCATGCAAATTCCTTCATTGGTCTGTTGCGTAAGTAAAAACCCTCCCCCACCCCCCCCCCCCCGAGGTGCGTTCATAGGCGTGCCCGCTGGATGAGATAAATAAATAACGTCCCTGGGAAAACCTTCGCTTTGTTCGCAAATAAATCAGCTTCTCGGCCACAAGAACGCGGCGTCAAACCTCTGCGAGGGGTGAACACTGTGGCATTGGGGGGGGGGGGGGGATTTATTTTTCTTCCTCCTTTCACGTCACCGATAGTAGCAAAAAAAATACTGAGCCCAAATTTGCAGCTTGTTAGTGCCACCGCCAAAGCTGCTGGCCGCTTATTTTTCCTGCGCCAAGCTGATTAACAAGCGTGGCTACGGTGCGGATTTTTTAAAGTTCAGGCGATGGCAGCGGCGACGGCAGCCTTGCGACCCATGACCTCGAGTGTGTCTCCATTTTGCACGGGGGCATTTTCAGTCGGGTTGCCTGCGCCACCGTTACGACGGGAAGGTCGGTCTTGCGGTGGCGAGGGAGGGATGATGGGAGTGGAGGGGAGTGGAGGGGAGGGGAGTGATGGTAGGGTGGTGGGTGGGTGAGTGGGAGGGAAGAGAAGGGAGGGAGTTGCAGGGGAGGAGGGAAGTAGAGGAGATAGTGGGAGGATTGGAAGGGTTGCGACCATTTTACATGCCGTGCCCTGGCTCGCCGTCCAGAGTGGTGCCCACATCTGGACGGTGGTGGCGGCGACGGCAGCGGTAAACAGGAAACGACGGGGAAATGTGGCCCTGTTATAAAGCGCGCTGCCAAATTAAAATGCCGTTGGAAATCGCACCTGGCTGGCGGATGAGCCGTCATATTCTCCAGGCGCAGATGCACCATTGCAAAGACTTATTCCCACTTACTACAGTCATCCTAATTGTAATAAAAAAAAACATTCCAATAAAAAATATAAAGCCAGATAAATGCATTAGAGTGCCAATTGTTGAGATTTTTAAAAAATGTTTTATTTTCAGTCTGCCATTTTTGTCGAGTTATGAATCGTTTTTTTTAATGGAATGTTTTATAACCAAACATCAAAGTGCCTTTAATAGGGTCCACAGAGATTAGGAGAGCGGGTTTTATTCCAAACGGTGAAAGAGCTGCACAGCCACTTGAGGCAATTTTGAAGCCGCACTTTTGAGGAATGCCTTAAAGGCTCTCAAAGGAGCGAGAGTGTCGCGATGAAAAGCTTTTGTTGGATTGATGGTAGGTGTCATCGGTGAGGTGACACGGCTTATATATTTACTGATTATCTTCGCTAAAGACGAGCGCGTGATTATGAGCGACCGATGCGAGAATGTTCCGACCACAATTTATTTGGTGTCGGTTTATTTTCGTCTAATTCTATCTGCATGCGTTTTTTTAGGGAGCAATTGGGCGGTAAAAAAACCAGAGACGAACAAAACGATCGACTTCTGTGATTCGTGGAGCCGATGGTGTTTGTCACGTGATTTCTTTGTTGGAAGATTTAAATTCGTGGGGAAAATTATCGCATCGAAAATCAAGTGCAGAATTTTTCACTCCCCGTTGCTCGTTGTTCAATCAAGAAAATCTTTCTTGAAGCAAATTAAAACATTGACATTTTTCAGATGCCGGAATAAATAGCAAATGGGTATTTTTTTTTGTATGCACTTTGCTTTTTCTCAAACGCTCATGTTTTTCTTTTCAATTCTGTCATCATCGTCATCAAGCATGATCAATCCACTGCTGGACGAAGGCCTCCCAAAGCTGACGTCACCCCCCACGATCATACGCTGTCGCAATCCGTAGAGCCCCTGCACACGCCAGCTGCTTTCATGAATCCGTCTCTGCAGTTGACGCCCTCTGGAGCGTGTGGCTCCTCCGGTGCCTGCCACCATGATTGGACTTGGTTCTCGCGCATTACGAGTTAATAACAACAATAAACAGTTCGCATACGCGCGCAATCTCACGGAATGAAGTCGCGCCGCGGAGTTGATGGCCTTGGCCCCGTCGCCAGGTAACGGTAAAGGTGCAGCACTGCAAGTGCTTGGCTCATGCCACTGCTGGCGGAAGGGGCTCCACGAGAGGAGTTTTAGAGAGGCCCTCTAGAGGGATATTTTGACCGACTCTTTCACACTTGCTGGCCAGACGTCTTGTGGGAGGTTGCATTACCAATGAGATCAGCCGATCGACTAACTGGTGAACTCATTTGCGCCGCTTGTTCCGTGGAGGCGGGAGGGTTTTAAGAAACGTGTTTCGACTGCTACTCCTGGAGAGATCAAAATCGAACCGGCAACCTCTGGAAGTCCAGTGTGTTTAACCGTACACCACAGTGGCATTCGCACCAAAGAATAACTCGTTTTTTTATTTTTTGCCATCGCGCAGGTAACGGATACGCAGCTGCGGTGGCAGCCTCGCGGGCATCGCCGGTGCTCATGGGGTCCCCGGGATCGGGCTCCGGTTCCGGAGGGATGAGCCGATCCATGGCCGCAAAGTCTCCACCGCCGCCCTCACAGGGACAAGCTGGAGGACAGCAGCAGCAACAGCAGCAACAGCAGCAACAGCAGCAGCAGCAACAGCAGCAGCAACAGCAACAACAACAGCAGCAGCAGCAGCGCAATAAGCCAGACCTGCGTGTTGTCATCCCGTCTAACAGCAAGGGCATGATGCCCACTCTGGTGAGTGTGAGTGGGGCGAGCTGGTGAGTGTGAGTGGAGCGAGCTGGTGAGTGTGAGTGGGGCGAGCTGGTGAGTGGGTGGGCGAGTGGTCGAGTGGGTTATCGAGTGGGTTATTTAGTCCAATGGCCGATGCGTTATGCGAGTCTCTAGTGAAGGACTCGGTGAGTGAGTTATTAAGTGAATGAGTGAGCGCACAGCAACCTTGTACTCGCAGGTTTCCTGTGCAACAACAGCAAGCAACAAGAACCACTAATCTCTGCAAAGCGGCAGTGACATCACCCTGGCATTTGTGCCTGGCCAGGAGGTCCACTTTGAGGTCGCGTAGAGGTGAACGCTCGTCGGCAGGAGGTCACGAACGAGACCCAGGCAGTGTGGGTGACCAAAGCTGGATGACCGGCAGATGCATCACTCCGTAGCAATTTGCTGTATTTTATCTGCCCGATACACCATTCATTGTCGCAAGCGTCGCTTCTCTACTTCCTCTTGTCGCTGAAAAGCGGCCACCACCACTACCACCAACATTGTTCAATGAACAGCATTCCCGAACCTCCGTCGCACACAGCGGCTGGTCATGACGCTGCTGGTACCGGCCGCTGGAGGTGCACTTGGATGCAGCTCGTTTGATCTCGCATCAGCACATCAGCTCTCGAGAGTGAGCCACTTGAATGCCCACGCTTGTGAGCTTTCACACGATTCTCCGTGGCTGACTCTCAGGTATGCAGCTGTGGGCACCGCTGATCGACCGCTTCAATTTCACTGATTTAAATATCCACACCCTTAGCGCCTCCGGAACCACTTAACTTTTATATTGTCGTTTCGTTGAGAAATCTCAGAATTCATTCTCCCACTCAAGTTTGTCTACAATTTATATTCTGTACATGTTTTTACGTGTAAGTATTATTATGGTCATTAAACAGCTGCGGTTTTCTTGATTTAATTTAGTGTTGCTGTTAGCATGTTTTAGCCGGAGTTTTCTGATAATAGACTGACAGACCAGTCTCCACGAAGGAGTCTTCAGACGATAATATACTCACACACTGGTCTACGATGGGAGTCTCTAGACAATCACAGACTCCCAGACTAGTCTGTGATAGGATCTTTGGACAATAGACTGTCAGACTCGGAACAATGGACTGACAGACCGGTCTTTGATTAGATTTTTAAATAATAGATTGACGGGCTGGTCTTTGATGGGGTCTTTAAATGGTAGTCTATCAGACCAGTGGGTTCGCTCGGTCAGACAATAGCCTGACTCGTCTTTTGGTGGGATCTTTAGACAGTAGTCTGGTACACTAGTCTGTGATTGAGTCTCTAGAAATGTATGGACTGGCAGACCAGTAACGGATTTGGTTTTCAGGTAATAGACTGGCAGATCGGTCCCCTGTAAAAAAAAAAAAACCTTGAAAAGCAAATTAATTGCACCCCATTCACCGTTCCCGTGTCGTTTTCCTCTGTGCGGTGCTAGCGGCAGTGACACACTTTCACTTTTCTCGTGGGCTTCGAGTTGACCCTTGAGCAACAAGCCCGTGCGGTGGGTAGCGTGACTCGTTCTATATCATCGCCATCGTTCAGATGTCGCCAAAGGGAACGCGGAATTTCCACTGTCTACTTCCGAATCACCCGGCGGAGGATGGGCACCGACCACAGCGCTCAAAGGAAAACCCCGAGTCGGACGTTGCAATCGCGATGCGGCCACTTTTTTGTCCCCCTGTCATCGGCAACTCCCACGGGAAACCGTCCACGCCGTTAGTCATTTCGCTCACCGCCTGATGGCCCCCGATTTGTGTTTGTCGTGCATGCAGACGGACGAGGATCTCATGGAACTGGTGAGTATGCAGGTTAGTCAACGGATTTCTGTAAACGCATAACACACGCACACACTTGCCTGCGTGTGCCTTTTGCGGATCCCACACACACACATACACACATACAAACATCGCATCGATTGCAGCATGGAGTTTTGGACACACATACCACCCTCCCGTCTCGCCATCCCCCCCCCCTTGCCTCCCCCTCCACCAGGCCCCCCCACGAGAGGGCTTTACCCATTATGAGTTAATGACTTATTCCACCGGGGGGGTTATTTCCCATGATGGGATGCATTTTGTGTTCGAAGAGCTAAGGGTTAATGTGTTTAAATGCAGCCTTTGTTATTAGTAATAACACTTGGCTATTTGTGGGATTTGGACAAACCGTTTCACTGAACACTCTTGTCAGGCCTTTGATTTGATAATTCTATGCATTCAAGGGGGATAAACTCTGTTTTCCTAAAGTGTGCTGTGGCTAATATTAGCGCATGCTGTTTTGCACGCCCTTTGTGTGTGTGTGTGTGTTTTTTTTTTACCCTATATATAGTGGTGGTGATATTATTGTTATTTTATAAATAGCGTTCGTTGCAAGGGGAAAGCTAAAAGCATCTCCGTTGCGTCGCGGCCCAGAGGTCTATCCCTTCGTGTTTTGCGAGCCGCCGTGCATGCCTTGTGACCGTCTTCTTCGTTGGCGCCGGTGTGCGGTGTTCTAATACATTCACGACGCACAAAGCACACAAAATCACGGCATGCTACGAATGAATGGCGATTTTTTTTTCGTTGAAAGCGCTGAGGTGGACGGAACCAGATGCGCGCGGATTGAGTTGCGCGTGCGAGCAATAAACCGGGAACGACGACTACGCGGTAGATCGCGGGGTGAGCCCCGGCGTTTTTGACAACGCCGTGGGTTTCATGTCACCCTCTCGCTGCCTCGCCTGTTGCTCGCCGCAACACTCGGCGGGTGATACTCGGTAGATGTTAACTACCTCGCCCAGTATACAGGAGGTCGTGGGTTCGACCCCGACGTCTATATATTTGGAGTTTGCGTGCTTCGTTCCCCGTGGTAACATGGACTTTTCTCCGGGTCCTCCGTTGTTTCCGTCCATATTCAGAATCAACGTGCGTTTAAGAGTATTTGGCTGCTATAAATTTGCACATGATGATAAGTTGATTTGTTGAGCTATCATTTGTAGTCAGGTCGCTTCTAAAAAAATATCTATATAGCTCAGTGGGCGGTACCTGGTAAAATAAATAAAATAGTTTAGTTTAGGGTCCGCTGTCAGCACTGACCCGTTACGATGCCCCCGTTGTGAGCAGGATATGCTTCTTCGCCTCACTGTGCCCGTTGCGTAACGATCATCACGCAGCATGCCTCTCTTCCGTTGCCTGGACGCTTCGGCCGGGCAGTCATGACTTTCCGCTGCTGCCGCCCGTGCAACCGTCTATTGCTAGTTTTTTTTACTAACCATTTTTATTTTACCAGGTAAGGCCCAACCGAGCTATCTCGCTCTTTTTCAGAAGCAGACCAGACCACAAGCGATAGCTCAATGAGGAGTGGCTTATCGCGTGGAAATTTATAGCAGCCAAACAGTGGCCCGAGAAAGCCGCGGTTAATGCGTTACCCACGTGTGCACCTTGAAATCCGACGATTGTAATGCACAAGCAGGAGCTGCAGGCTCCTAGAATGTGAATTATGGGCTCGAGAACGAATGGGCAACTTGTGGAATAGCCGAAGGAAGTATATACATAGACGAAATCGCTCCCCCCCCCCCCCCGTCTCGTCTCATCGGAGCTCAAGCTAAGCAGGTTCGAGCCTGGATAGCGCGTAGACTGGTGACCACCATTGACAGCAGGCTGCTATAGGCTGGCTACCTACGATGTAGGCAGCAGAGGACAGTTTGGCGAAAACAAATTCTTTCTATAATGTATGTGTATGCTCTCGTGTCTTTTCTGCCAGCCTTCACCAATCCGTACTTGATAAACGTGGTGAAGTATGGTAAAAAAACATCATGACCTGCACGTTGCATTGAAGGCCCTCAGCCAGCAGTGGGATTGACAAGGCCCATAGTATTTGCAACTTTTTTAGCATTTTGAGTTGGATTCTCGGCTCTTGCAGATAGTAGCGCACACGGGTTTGGCAAATTCCTCTCGAATGCTGTGCTTATCTCCTGACGCTGCAAGCGAAGTCTCTCTAATTAGCAGTGGCTTTGCTTCAACCAGAAAAGCCTCACCGAGTCTCTGAGACTCTTTCTTTTTCTCATGTGGCTCCTGCTACATTTGAATGTCAGGCATATGCCTTGAATGAGCATTTGCCTTCCGTGTGCCAAGATACCAGAGAAACCCATCTGAAACCCAGCACGCCTACAAAATTCTCCACGGATAAATACAAGAATCCATCGCTCTACGTGCCATCTGTCGGTCACTTTGCAGGCAAAACCCCCTGCAAAATTCACGTATGCCCGATGCAACGAAAAATCAGGCTCAAAAAAACCTGCTCAGCTTTCCGAGATCCCGACGAGATCGGGCACGCTCAGGGAGATATTGGGCGCTGCGTCGATCGGCACGTGTTCTTCTTCTGGCTCCGTCCTCCCCGCCGCTTGTGACCCGCAATGGGTTCTGTGATGTATGTATGTGTACGTATATGTATGTTTGTTGAACTTCTTTCGCACCGTGAGTCGCCAATCTAGCTTCCCGGAGGTGCGGGAGGAGGACAGCAAACTAAAAGAGCTCTCGGATGGAGCCGATGCCACCAAAGTTCTCAGTTGATAGACGGCGGCGGCGCTGTGACGCGATAGAAACAGACTGCGAGCGAATCACCGATCCTGCCGATATCAGCCAATCCCAAACAAAGAGGGCGTTTCAGACGACGCTATACTGACCAATAGGATCAATCGGTCCGTGGGATCGATCGCTCGAACATGGCTGTCTGATGGACTGCACGTGATGATAATCACGATCCACAAGACCACACACGGGCAGAGGCACGACGTCCCTATACGGGCAAGGCCGTACCTATTTTCTACCATATCTGGGCAGATCACCGATCGGGTTGTGTCGTCGGATGGCGTCCATAGTTATCGCTGTTACAGCGCCGCCACCGCCGCCCGATCGCGAGCGAAGGTCTCTCGCGGTTCGCTTCCCCGTGCCGTTCCGCGTCGCGCAGCTCCACGCGGTCCCCGTAACGTTCCGTAATTGTTGGTACAAAAAGAAACGAGCAAATAAAATGTTCTGATTGGGGGACCGCGTTGCGCAAAAAGGGCCGTGTTGAAGTTGTCGAAATGCCAACGGTTCGTTCGTGTAATGGTTGTGTCTGAAACGGCGAGCTGGCACTGCTGAGATTGCGAGCTTTGATCGAAGCAGCTGATGGTAATTTTAAGAAGGGTTCTGAAGTGGAGTGAATTTGACAGTTGGTCCGTGCAGTCACCAATGACTGAATAAACAAGATGTAAAAGTTTGATTTTGCTCACAAGGCTAGAGGTTCACGTGTAAAATATTCATGTTGAAGGATGTGGGGGGCAGAGGCTGATTTGAGTTGTTCCTCAACACAACAACGTAATTCTGCTTTTGTAGGCGGTCAGCAGGAAATGAAATGCTTCATGCTTAGCTGCTGATAGTGTAGCTTCTATGTAATTGGTGGAAGAAAAAAATCCAATTTGAATATTCCAAAAACCCTAACCATTTCTGAATATGAAAATAGTGTTCACACATTTTATTTGAATTGTCATGTCACCAGACATTTTAATATTTCAGCAGGCTTTTTGTTGAAATATTAAAGCATCCTTCGAACATGCGTTCTTTTCGTGCCTCCGATTCAAAATAAGCACCTGGTAAATTTCCGCTTTTGTATGACTGGACATCTGTGTAGCTCATCGGATTCCTCCAGTATAAATAAATATGCTCATTTTCAAGTCGCTGGTCTTTGACTCGGAATCTTGGCCACATCTTGCGCGTCAAACGCGCAACGTAATTTTCGTGCAGATTTTTTTGGTTTCAAGCGGAGGATGCGTACATCTGATTTTCGCTGTTTTTCACCGGCATTTTCAACCAAATATTCGCGGCGCATGTTTGTTATTACAAACAGAAGACATAGCGCTGAATATCATCTTCGTTATACTGCTGTTGATTTTTTTCAGCAGTTTGGTCCGTCCTTCCGCTTAACTCGCAAGTTAAAAGGTAGCGCAAGCGTGACTAATGCACCTAAGGTCTGCAAAGCAATTCCCCTTTCCAACATGCACTCTTGTTTTTAAGAGTGCGCGCGATCTGACCCAGAGAGCGGACAAAAACGACTTATTGGAGAGAAATAACAGCTGAACATCTGCTGCCTCACTGCCATCTGCGAGTCGCAACAGTGATAAATATTGAGCCCATCCGTTTGCAGCGGGACAGCACGGAATCTGACGAAATACGCCGTGAATTTGTACTTCGAATGAAAATAAAAATTGTTCTCCGCATGCTGTTGTTTATTTCGCGAGCCATCGCGTTGCCGCACCACTGGCGTAACTCCGCACCCCCCCCCCCCCACCTCCTTGCCTCCTCGCCCTGCAGAACCAGCGACTGAACAGCTCACAGGTGACCCAGTCCCTGGCCACTCCGGTGGTTTCCGTAGCAACGCCCAGCATACCTCCACAGGCGCTCTCGGGGTATCCGTCCGCCATGCCCACGGCCTACAACACAGGTGGGAGTGCCCCCCCCTCAACCCCCACAACCCCCCCCAGCCCCCCCCCCCGACCCCCCCACAACCTCCTCCCATCCGCACCCCCAGGCTCGCACTAACGAGCTCTCGGTTCCCAGCTCCTGGGGGCCTGTGTTGCTGTTTGGGAATAGGTAGAGCTCGCCGCGTGAAGCAAGGGCAGCTTGTGCCAATGCGTGTGTGCGCGCTCGTGTGATTGTGCGTGTGCGTCTGTTGTTTGTGGTTTGGGGAGTGGTGGCACAGCGCTTTGCGTGCTGCGCTACGAACCTGGCGAGCCGAGCTTGATTCGCGCTCACGGCCAACGTCACTGAGGAATATCTGAACCAGTTCTGAGGCTCCCCTAGGTCGACTCGGCCTTAAATGAGTGCCTGGTGCAGTTTGTAAACATCATCACTGGGGAGATAATCACACCACCCTCCTGTGTGCAGTACCGGCCTTAATAGGTGCTCACAAACGGCCTCTAAGGTCCAAACCACCAAACAGGTGATGTTGGCCTGTATATGGGTGTGGCTCATTGGATAGCACACTCGACAATGATTCAAATCTGCCACCTGCGTAGCATAGATCTTAAAGACTTGCACGCCAGCAGCACTTATAAGAACAGGCTATTGTGTCCTGGAGTCACATCCCAATCTGGACATGTTTAGAGCGTGTAACAATTTGTAAAAACAACCTCCTATATGACTACATTTAATCCTGTGTATGTATGTGTGCGTACGTATGCCTTGTGCCTGTGTGTCCTTACATGCCTATGTATGTGTACTCTACCCCTGTGCACGTATGTGTCGTATATCTACGTGTGTACCGGTGTCCTGTGTTCGTGTGCATGTCTGTGTGTACGTGTGCATGTCTGTGTGTTCGTGTGCATGTCTGTGTGTACGTGTGCATATCTGTGTGTTCGTGTGCATGTCTGTGTGTTCGTGTGCATGTCTGTGTGTACGTGTGCCCTGAATCCCCATTTCTGTGTGTACCGTCGAGTCTGGTTGGGGAGCGGTAGGGTAGCAGTTAGCGCGCTGCGCTACGAACCCGCTCACGGCCAGCACCGGTGACGATAATCTGAACTGGTCCTGGGCCTCCCCTCGGTCGACACGGCCTCAAATGAGTACCTGGAGACAAATGTGGCCGGGAATGGCCCAAGCCACACCAGCCTCTCGCGTGCCGTGGCGGACTTTCATTGGTGCTCGCTAACAGTGCTTGATCTTGTCGTCCCTGTATCTCTGTTCCGGTCTGTCTCATACCTGCACCCCCGCGTGCGCGCGTATGTGTGGGTGTGCGTGCGTGCGTGCGTGCGTGCGTGTGCGCGCGTGCGCGATGGGCGCCTTGACGCGTGTGCTTTTCCGTGCGTGCCCCGCAGACTACTCCCTCGCAGAGCTGACCGCTCTGACGGGTCTCAACTCGCCTGGCACCCTCCACCTGGGCTCCGTCACGTGGCAGCAGCAGCAGCTGCACAACATCCCACAGAGCATGCTCAACCAGCTCCTGTGAGCCGCCTCGCCCTGCCCCGTGTCCGTGCGTGCGTGCGTGCTTTGATGCGCATTACGCTGTGCAGGAATTTCTCGTGTTTGTACGGGTTTTGTTTTGTTCGGTGTTTTCTTGAGGCCACCGCGATCGCTTTCGGTATCTGCGGGAACGTTAAGACTTGAGGGTTTATTTGACGCCGCGTTTAAGAGACCCTGAGGCACACGTGGGTTTTATTTTTCCTTTTTGGTTAAACAACAACGTACTGATAATCGTAATGATGCAAATGCCCTTGCGATAGTGATAGTAGTAATACTAGTAAAGAATCATGGGGGGGGAATGATGCGTGTGGTAAGAATTTTGTGCTTTGGAATTATTCGGAAAGTAGTTTGGAAATTTTGATAAAGCAGAATGTCCATACATTAGTTACTGCCGCATGTTCTCAGCCCAAGGAAACCAATCGTATTGAATATGAGTGGTTTTAACTTTTTTTTGTTTTCATAATTTAGCTAAAATCCAGCTCTTGGAGTTAAAAGTTTCAGTTTGACATGCGAGCCTGCCCCTTGGAAGGGCGTAGGTGATGTGTGTCCCGAGCATGAAAAATTAACCCGTAAAAACAAAGTTTTTCACTATAAATCCTTTATATGCGTGGCGGCTAGAGTCCTCTCGTCCTCTGGCTTGAGATGGCTGCCACCTATGAGTCAGATGATTGTCTGCCAGCATTAAGCAATTGGTAATAAAATATTTAAATTTTTTCCCCTAAAGAGTGTAAAATTTAGGAAAAAATTTTTCACGAAAATTAATTGTCACGCACAATGAGTCTGTGTGCAAAATGTCAGCTCGATTGGATCACGGGAAGTGGGTTAAAAAACGACCGAAAGATTTGCACGGTCGTAAGCAAGCAAGCAAGCACGCAAGCAAGCGAACTTAATATAAAGGATTTAATAAAAATGGTTCCACAGAAGTGAATTCAGAAGTAGTTCTCCGACGTCATCTTGTGGGGTTTTTTTTCTCTGATGCAGGGTGTGGTGCACTGTCACAACAACAATTCTGAATTTCAAGATTGTTACCAACACTTTCTTCTTTCTGAGCGAAAATACGGATCTATATAATGAATAATGTTCGTAAACCTCATTACTCTGGCATCGATCGCACGCAAGGTTCACGACTCCAGTTGAAATGCGAGGATCGCTATGGTCACACCAGTGATGATCGTTTTAAAGATGACGCGACACAGATGACGACGATCATTATGATCACGACTACTACAGTGATGATTACACGGCATTGTATGTTGAACTTCTTTCGCACCGTACGTAGCCAACCGTGCTAAACGGAGATGTGGGGGAAGGACTAAAAAACGAAACACCAAAAGCAGTCATAAAGAAATGAGATTTCAATCTGCATGATAATTTAAAGGTGCATAGCTCCAGTGGCTTTCTAATATCAGAAAGAATGGCATTCCAGACAGCCGCTAAAAGCACATCTGAAACCGCGCGATGTGGTGATCGTGGTGGCGACGACGATAATTATCCGTGACGATGCACCGACTAAAACAACGACACCGAAACTTAACGCGTCTCCCCACCCCCACCACCACCGCCGCAGGATGAACCCGAGCAGCGGAGGGCTGACGGTGAACACCAACATGAGCGTGAGCGTCAAGTCGGAGCCCGTGTCGCCCCCCAAGGGCGGCGTCGTCTCGTCGGCCATGTTCCTGGTGGCGGGCGGCGCGCAGGGAGGCAGCGGCGGCGGTCCCGGCGACCCCACAGGCGCCACGTCGCGATCCCCGGGGCCCGGCGCCACCGGCGACAGCCTCAGCAGCTCGGGCAGCTCGTACGACGGGGGCAGCGACCGCGAGGATCTCCGCAACGTCGGCGGTGGGGGCGGCGGCGGCGGTGGGGAGTTCATGGGCTCTCACCACCCTGGGCACCACGCGGGGCACCACGGCGTTGGCATGCTGCGCTCATCGCCGGACCCCGGAGATGCGCAGGCCGCCAAGCGCCTGCGCATAGACGGATGGCCGCCGCGATAAGGAGCGGCGACGCGCGGGCGACGCGCGCCGATAGTCCGATGAAAGGAAACTAAATAATTATATATACGTACACACACACACATATATATGAGGTTAAGGAGAGAATACACTTTAGTAAATTCGTCGTAAATTTTTTTCTTTCGTTTTGAAAACTCGCCATTTCAACGCTTTTTTTCCTTCCTACACCTACCCCCCCCCTTCCCCCCCAGGGTTTGTTGAGATGAAAATTACGCAGTACAAATTCGCCAGTATTTAGAGGTGTTCTGTGGTCTCCAGTTTTTTTGTTGTTGATGGAACACTTTAGTGCTTTGCAACGCTTGTACTGTGTAATTTTTGTTCATGACATGAACATCGAATTCCTTCAGCTCTCGGTGCTTTTTTTTCTGAAGCTTTTTGTGAGCACACATCCGCGAAACACGATCTTAAATTACTGTTAACCTCATCGACTCTTAATCATATCTCTCTTTTTGACCGATGTTTATAAACGATTGGCATTGTCGCTTTTTTTTATTTAAAAGAACACCTTCTTACACGCAAAACATTTTGCACGTCATATCTGGGCCGGACTGCGCGTCAAGAACACGTAGAACAAAACACTTCTTCATGGTTCTTTCGGTGAAGTCACGGAGAATGGAAATAATAAAATAATAAAAAATACAAACTAATAAAATAATTCTCACGACGTTTCGGCCACAACGCAAGCAGCCGTCCTCAGGTGGAGAGCTGGTCTGTCGAGGAGACAGAGTCTGTTATGTTTTAGTTTTATTATTTTATTATTTCCCTTCTACGTGACTTTACCAAAAGACCCAAGAAGATGAATCCCTGCAGTCACGAAAGCTTTAAATCGAAACAAAACACTTTGCAAGTTTCAGAAAATAAAGCTGCTCGGCTGTCGAAACGTAATTCAACCGCCTCTCCCGATCCCAACACAAGTGAATTTTATTTTCCGTGGCAGGATTATCTCGAAACTGCCTCCTCGCGATATTGTCAATCAGTACCGATTGCACTTTTCTCGCCACTCTGGGCGTGCGGTCATCCCTGGCCCTGCCGTGCCGACAGTTCGCCCCACTTCCCCCTTCCATAGCCCCCCTCCGGCACAGGTGCCCAGCGTCTGCCCACTCTCCTTACCCCGCGATATAACGTATCGTCCTCCCAATGATATCGTCCTCCCAATGACGGTGACGATCATGTTGTTGTTGATGATGATGATGACGACGGTGGTCACGCCTGTATCTCAATCATGTTTTAGCGTTTTGTTTTTTTTGTCTGCGGTTGGTGTTTGGTGCAGTGCCACGGAGGTTTCTGGGTGATCGTGACAATTTAAAAATGATACCTTTGTCTGCGACAGCTTCGGCCGAAGCTGTTGCCTGTAGTGACGTCTTGCTTATAGATACTAATAATCGGAGCGGCGTCGATAAAATAGATAATATTCTGGTATCTTCCACGATATCGTCTACGATAATGTAGTCCCAACGCGATTGTTGTCCATTGCAGCTGTTAAGCGAAGCGGCTCCAGTAACACCTGCTGCTTACTGGTACACGCAATAGATTAGATTCAGTACAAAATAACCACAAGGATTTCTTCATTATATCCCCCCCCCCCGCCCCCGTTTACAGTCATCCGTTAATCGCGCCGAAAGGGAAGGTGCGGTTGTTATTTTGACTGTGTGGGTCTGTGCATTAATGGATGTTCAAATTTGGCAGGGTCCTGCTGTACTTGCAGAGTTGGGGTTGTTTTTGTTCGTTTCGCTTTCGTCCGGTGCCCGCAGCACTTAACGCTCCGTAAGCTCTCAGCCATAGCCAGCGCTGGCGGGGGGGGGGGGGACCCCCTCAACGCTCCGCGAGACGACACCGCTCGACTCCCCCGGCGCAGATCGGATTCACTCGGATCGCAACGAACAATGCGTCAGTTTTTACGAGTTTTAAGAAATATATATACGTGAAATAAGTAATACAACAGAATTAACAATGCACTACAAATACGCCGTTGTACAGTTTTAGCTAATGTATTTCCTAAAATAAACTGGGTTTTATTTTAATTTTTTGAAAAGAACTTGTTATTGTATCGGTTGTTTATAGCGTCTGCCAAAGTGTCCATTTACATTTAGCAGTTGCTCGGAGCCAGGGAAGCTTCTCGTGCAGAGCCCATCGGCTTGCGCGCACGACCCTGCGCCGAGAGCAGATAGGGCAAAAGCAGCATCGTGATACGTCCACACCATTCGCTCTCCCTCCGCTCTCTCTTTCCACGCTCTCTCCACCCTCTCTCTCTCTCCCTCCTGTCTCCTCCTCCACTCCACTTTCCATCGTCGTCGATCTCTCTGGAACCCGAGGAAGGTTTCCCGTGTGAGTTGTGTGAGTTGTGTGAGCTGCTTGTTGCTTTCTGGGAGCCTGACCCCTGTGTGACTGCTCTGACCTACGCTGGTCCCGTGCACATTCAGTGGGTGGTGGGGGGGTTGGGTGGTGGGGGGGGCGCCAAGAGGGGACGGGGAGATGGGGAGGGGGCACGCACGGGGGCGTTCTTGTGCGTGGGAGTTGTTGGGTTGGCATGAATACAAGCGTGGCCAGGGTTAGCCATGCTGCTGCTATTAGGATGCTTTATTTCTTCTTGTTTAACGTCTAATCAAACATCCCTTATCCCAATCTCTTGCGTCCATCTAGGGGTTCTTTTTGCCCTTCTCCGACTTGCTCTCGTATTTCCCACGTTTGGGTTAATGTTTTTTCTCTTTATCCCTCCTCGTTTCGCCCCACCAGACTGCAATGAGTTGACACTTATAATATATTAAACAAATTTGGTGGGGGGGTGGTTTCCGTCGTTGGAAAAATCTGGACAAAATGGTTATTTTTCTCAAGTGCTTGTGCCGTGCTCTGAATTGATCAAATATAACAGCTTTTGTCACGTTTATTCTCCTGGGCTCGTTTTGCCCCATATACATACATACGTACGGTAACGTCACAGCTTATATAATCAAACGTGCATATTATAAGTTACAATATATTGGCGAAAAATGCAGTTGGATGTGTAGAAGTTGTTCCACGCATGTAGATTTACAGTTTTTGGCAGCGGTTCATGCAGAAAAAGTTCACTTTTGATTTCTCTATTTTGGTTTTTCTTGTCCAATTTTGCCTGCATTACTTCGCGAGGCGGCGAGCGTCGTGACATCACGTGGTGGGGCGGCAGTGCGACACTTTCATCTGAAATCCCGCGGAGTTTATTCGCGACAATGCGGTGAAAAACAACTGGTATCTTTTTTTTTACGTGTTATCAACTGTACCAGCGGCTTTGTCATCTCGTGTACTAATACAATTTACTTTAAATACCCTTTCTCTTTTAGTTGCTTATACTTTGCTTGTTTGATTTAACAAAAAAAAACGACGCAAAAAAAACAGATTTAATTTATTTAATGAATGGGTTTTTTCCCCTTTTCTTCTGTAGAATCTGCATGGGATGTTTGTAAGATAGGAGCTTGCATTGGATTGGACTGATGTATTAGTTAATATAGCTAATATATATTATTATATATTGTGTTGTATTAAGGTTCAGAATTTGGTTAACCTCTTTGAAATGTTTTTAATGGAAATTAAAAAAAAAACCTCAGTGAAAGATAAAGTGCATCTATTTTCGTAAATATCGATGGGAGACACAAAAAAAAGTTGTATTCTAAAGTAAAATTATGTGTGTAGTCTGCTTTTAATGATTTTACTGAAGCCAAAGTGTTTCAAAAGTGTTTTAATTTGTATTTGTTGGCACAGTAATTTTACGTTATACTGTATTTTGAAGGTTTATCCTAAATAAGCCATGAAATCTCGTTTCCTTTTGTGATGGTTTTTTTTGCTTTCTAAAGAAAAAAATCCTACAGAGCAGAGGTATACGTCTGTACAAAAACAAAAAAAAACAATATCTGCCTGTGTATAGCAACTTGAAATATTTGCCTGTTTTTTGTGGGTTTTTTTTCCTTTCGTTTCTGCCGTATTGTTACTAAAAACACAACAAAAACAACAAAAAAAGGAAAAAAAATTATATATTTTGTGCGGTCACTATGAAGCTACTCTGTAAAACACCTTTGTACCGACTGTTGACGAGTCCTCTTAGCTCCAGTGTACAGTATATTGATGTTCAACTCGCTTATAAGACAGCACAAGACTGTCCTTTTCAATGTCTTTGTATAAAAAAAAAGTTTAAAAAATAAAGAATACACATCATATTATAGTTAACATATGTCACGCGGTGAACTTTCGTGTCAAGTGAGTGTGACCCCCCCCCCCCCCTCTTATTTTAATTCAATTTCATTCATTTCTGAAATTACCAGCGATGCCTGTTGCATCAATTTGCTCGTATTAAACGCATTAGCGCTTACCACCTGCTCTGGAGGCTGCTACTTATGCAGACACTCGGAGAATGCTCTTCCCATGTGGCACAAAGCTGTCTGGTTGGGAGGAGGGGAACAAAAATCCATTAACGTTTTCATCTTATTTTTCTTCTTCTGCGCTGAAAGCCTCATTATTGCGTGGATTAGTGCGTGTTGGTGGTGGTGGTGATGCTGCCGCTGCTTGCATTCCGTTGCTGTTGTTAGCGGCGGTTGCACGAACAAAAAAACTCAACACAAGCGTCGACAGCACTGAGCACGGAAGAAACTTTTAATTTATTGCACGATTGAATATTTTTTTATCCAACTCGTACTATTGTGTCACATCCACCGTCCGTGTGTCTCGTTTCATGGCATCAACTAAAACTACTAAACGAAATACATTTTTATCTTACCAGTTAACGCCCACAGCTATATAGCTCTTTTTTTATCTCAGAAGCGACCTGGCCACAAATGATAGCTCAATGAAGCGGCTTATCATCGCGTGGACATTTATAGCAGCCAAATACTCTAAACGCGTTTTGGTTCTAAATGTGGAGGGAAAAGAACAGAGGAGCCGGAGAAAAATCCACGCGACCACTGGGAGAGAGGCATACAAACTCCAAATTTACAGGCACCAAGGTCGGGATCGAACTCACGAACTCCAGTATATCAGGAGAGGGAGTTAACATCTCACCTTTGGTCTCGCTCGACTTCGTTCAGACCTGCACCGATGACTTCTCTGTCGCCCTTCTCATTGCACCGTTGTCTCTTCACAACATGTCCCCTATTCGGCTTCTAAGGCAGGCGAGACTGAGCGCCACGGTGGTGAAATGTCATCTCCCTCGCCTGGTGTGCAGGAGGTCCTGGGTTCGATCCCGACCCTGACGCTTGCTGCAAATTTTGAGTTTTCCGTGGCTCTCTCCTCGTGGTCGCATGGATTTTTCTCCGGGTCCTCCGGTTTTTTGCTCCACATTTAGAATCAACACGCATTTAGAGTATTTGGCTGTTATAAATTTCCACGTAATGATGAGCCACTTCGTTGAGCTATCATTTGTGATCACCAAGTCGCTTCTGTGATAGCCAAGTGGGCCTTACCTGGTAAAATAAAAAGTTTCGTTTTCTCGGGAATTTGAGTAAACCCCCTCTAAGATATTCCCAACATCCATCTCAGCATCCTCATCTCTCGCCTTTCAAGTGCACATTATTTTCATCCAGAAGTCAAAAATGCTGCCACTACGGCAAATTTCACGGCTGTCCACGTGCGATGGGGGGCAACGCGGGGAATAGCATCACTTGCACAAATGAGGAGTGTCCGGTAACCCAAGAGTTTAACACAGAAGGCTTTCGCGGCCAATATCCATAATAAAGGGTTTTTTTGGGTTCGATCACGTAAATATCACGTGTCGTTATACCCGCCACCACTCGACAAGGCAAATTAGTAGGGTTTGTCACGTAAACAAAACGTACCAATTAGTTACTACTTCAGCGCACCGGTGTTGTTGGAGGATAAGCCCGCGACATTAAGCTTCGAGCACGACGTTTCGCTGGTGATTACAACCAGCTTCATCAGGCGATAGCCAGACATGTGAAGAAATCCGCCTGTTTCGACCTTAAATGGGGGGAGTAGAGGTGATGTCATCACTGTGGGTCTATAACCAGAGTACTTCGCTAGCTACATCACAACAGTTTACAATCCATGTTTCACAGTTTTATAGTAGCATCATAATGAAAATTTTAATCCCCTTTACCCACATTTATTTTTTTAACGTAATCTCACTTTCATAAGGGCCGGGATTTGTGTGTGAGATGCCAGGGGGCGGTAGTATGGCGGTTAGCGCGCTGCGCTACGCTTTTGATTCCCGCTCACAGTCAACACGATTATCTGAACCGGTGCTGTGCCTCCCCTAGGTCGACTCGGTCTCAAAGTAGTAGCTGGTGCGGTGTTTAAACATCGCTGCTGGGGAGACAAAGGCGGCCGGCCGTGGTGCTGGCCGCCCACCACCTCGTGTGCTCTGCCGGCCTTCATAGGCGTGCGCTAACAGCACTTGCCCCAAAGGTCTGTTAAAGCTGTACTGGAGAATTTCTCTTTCCTGGGTTGGGCAAAGTCTCCAAATCCACAAGTTGGCTAGTGAGCTCTTTTTTTTTCATGGAAAAATGCGTGTTACTAGTAATGATGAATGATTAATTGTTTAATGCCTGAAGGGAAATAACATTGAATGCATCGGCTAATGGGCTGTCTTCCAGATCGGTGGTCAACGTGTCTCAAGGCAATATGGAAACAGTTGTGATTACATAACACTCACCAGCGTCGTCTAGCGCTGTATGAACAAGTGCCACTGGTGGTGATGTGGGCAGGAGTCTTTTCGGTGACGTGTGGCCTTCAAAAGTGAAGTGTGGCCTTCATAATTAACCAATCGTGCAACTTTTTATCATTTAACAGCATTAATTATACCCTATTTACAGATGAAATCGTGTTAATATCGGTACGTTTAACTATTATTATAATACTACTACATTCATACGAGTCTTTTCCATAATCTACACTTTCGAATAATACTGAATATCTACGAATGCGACACTAAGCAATCTTACACTTTGACAGCATTGCTGGTGGCCATCTTGACCTCGTTGTGCCCACACGCGTTCATATAAACAGCGTTAACAACAATATAACTTCTCACAACTCGCCCGATTCACCAGATTACATCCACAACCTGTGAATTCAATGAACAACTCAACTTTTTTTTTACAATGAAGCAAGCGAACGCGTGTCTGTCTCTCCGTTTTGCCCCACGTCGCCACGCACCATGAAATCACCAGCGAAACGTTGTACTCGAATGGGTTTACACACCGGCGTGCTCAAGTATCGGGTGGTGGCGGGTTTAACGACACATTTCTATATTAACGCGATCTCACCCAAAACACACACCACCCCCTCTTGTGCACGTGCTCCCTGCGTCACAAGGGGATGACTCGGCTCTCATTGGCCACGCCCAGCGCCAATGACGCGTTGGGAGAGGTGAGCTGCGGTCGGAGCTCCCAGTGTCACTGCCGATGTCATTGCTGTTCACTCCCAATGAGCCACCCTTTACCAGGGAGGTTCAAATGGGGGCGGTGGAGGTGGCTTGGTTTTCGTGTGTTTTCAGACAAATTGCGCCACATATCTCGTCCTCTCCACAACCGCAAGCAATACTGGAATATCACAATCATAATAATCATCAGTCACCAGAGGCAGATCTAGAAACTTCCCAAAAGGGAGGGGAGTCATGATATTTAAAGATGTTTTTTTTATGATAGGGCCCTCTATTAACAATAATAATAGCATACTTTTACGTAGTATCTCTGTTTCTCCCTACATTCTTAGATCCGCCACTGTCAACCATGATCTCTATCCACATACGGTTAAACCACGACTGCTCTGCGTAACCGGTTTAAGCACCGATGGGCTCTGCTTAACCGGTTAAGGCACTACTGGGCTCTGCTTAACCGTGGGCTCTGACCGCCGTGGTATCGCTGCGGCCATGAATTCGTGTAAAGAAGGGTTTGGATGTAGAGTTGTCACGGTGGGGCTGGGTGTTTGTAAGCATGTTAAACTTCTTTCGCACCGTACGCAGCCAACCGTGCTAATCGGAGATGCGGCGGGGGATAGGGGGCGGTGGGGGGGTAGAGACAAATCCCCCCCCCCTGGCTGAGCCGGTTTGGCCGGCCTCGGCGTTGAACAATGCGGGTGTGGGGTGGCGTTCGGGGTCTCTGTTTTTGGAACTTGCTATGTGCCTGTCACACTTTAGCGACCACGCAGCGAGTGACAGGGGATGAGGATGAGGAGGAGGAGCAGGGGGGTGGGAGTGCAATGCAGTCATTGGCAGAGGAGCAACGATGTTTGCACGCATCGTAAATCCTCCAGCTGCTCAGACCACGTGGGAGAGGTTGTGGTGGGGGGGATTGGTGGCTCACGAAAAGATGGAACCGTCAACATATCTGCAAACAGGTCACTGTGATGACAACGGCAGGCAAGTAGAGCGAGAGAGGCGGGGTCGATATACTTTCAAATGGCAGGGAGATAGGGGGGGGGGGGCGAAGCAGTCCCGACATTTCAAGCCTTTTAAACAGGGCCCAAACATTACTACTAAAATACAATGTAACATTTGCTCTGAACAAATATCAATCGAGTCCCGATAATGGGGTCTCAAGGTTCAGGGAGGGGGGAGGGGGCTGGGCAATGGCCCCCATTGTTGCCTCGTATCCGCCACTGGAGAACAACACTGGCACAGCCTCGGACGTGTGTGCAGTATGTTGAACTTCTCTCGCACCGTACGTAGCCAAACCGTGCTGATAGGGAGATGCGGAGTAAAAACAACAAACTGAACACACACAAAATGGTTCTAAAGAAATGCGTTTTCAACCTCCACTTTCAAAGCGCACAGCTCCGGTTGGCGTCCCGAATATCGGAAGGAAGAGCGTTCCAGACGGCCGCAGAAGCGCATCTGAAAGCGGCGCGCGATGCAATGGGCCGTCTTTGTTCGACGCGTTAGAAGAATACCTGGGCAGAAAATATCACCCAGCAGCTACCACGGACACCCCACAAGGACATCCGGGGACAGCCGAGAGCAGCAGCAGCAATGAACGAGTCCCGACCTGGGCATTTCCCAGGGGAATCCGTGGGGCATTTCCCACCGGGCCCTGGACATTCTGACAGACTACGAGCCAAGTTCAGTTTTCTCACGGCTGCGCTCGGAGGCCGCCTCGTTGTGTCAGTATCTTCTCGTTGTGTGCGTTTCTTCTCGTTGCGTTGGCGCTTGCCTGTCCCTAAGCCACGGCGCAAACTCCTCGAAAGGAAGTTAATTGTCTGCCCCAAGGTGATGCAAT